GAGAGAAAGAATATGGGTTAGACCAGAGGTCCCCAATGCGACTGCATTTAAGACACCCAGCTGTTTGAGCTCGTGTGAGTAGGTAGGTTTAATGCTGTCAAGGTGCTTCCGACTTATGGATTAATGACCTCCAGAACATCCTATTGTTTCCAGCCTTGCTGGGGTCTTCCAAACTGAGTGGGGATGCTATGAATTAATGACCTCCAAAGTGTCCTCTCATCAACAGCCTTGCAAACTGAGGGCCCCTGTGGCTTCCTTGATGGTCCATCCATCTCATGTTGGGTGAGTCTTCCTCTTTCCCAAATTTCCCTGCCGCCTTCAACTATTCCTATCATTATTGTCTTTTCCAGTGACTCTTGTCTTTTCAGGTGGGTGGCCATGTTGGTTCGCAGTCTGAGTCCGGCGGCACCTTTAAGACCACCAAAGTTTAATTCTGGGTATAAGCTTTCGTGTGCACACACTCTTCCTCAGGAATCTTCTTCAGATATCTGGAAAAGCGTGCAGGCACACAAAAACTTATACCCAGAATTAAAGTTCGTTGGTCTTAAAGGTGCCGCCGGACTCAAACTTTGTTCTCTTGTCTCCTCAGAATGGGACCATAGTACGATAACCTCAGTTTCATCCGTTTGAGCTCATAAATGGATTTTTTAAAAAGAAGCTAAACTCTGAGCCATCTCAAAAGGGCTAAACTAACACAACATTATCGCTTCCTAAGGTCACCCAAAGCAAACCCAGGTGGGACATCAGATGAACAGCAAACAGCAGCAGCAGAACCTCCCAGACATAATATGACACACCACATGTAGCTGTTTAACTGCGACCAGACTTACCCAGTCTCTCAATGGCCTCGTAAGCATTGGACGGCAGCCCTCCGCCGCAGGCTTCGTCTAGAGAATCGCAGTCCACAAGCTCTTTGGAAGAAGAACAGCAGCTTATCAGCCCAGTCAGAAACTGAAGCCAAAGCCAGGCCTACTACTACTACTCCTGGGAGTCAACCCATCCCCCTCTCCCAAGTCTCGTGTCTAAGTTGGCTTCAGGCTGTGCAGAGCATGGAAGAAATCTCAGCTAGTCATGACCTCCGGATACATCCTGATGAGTTCCTCAGTGACGGACAGCCCAGTGCAGATTGCATGAGTTTCTCCCTCCCCAACCGGCACTGAGACCAAACTGCAGGAGCCACACCAGCTAACGGACCTGGTGTGGGACAGGGCTCAGCCACCATAACCTCCAACAGGCAGCAAGGGCCATCTTGAAAGTGTGGGTGGGCCAGAAGATATGCTTTCAAGCCAAGGCAAATGCCATCTCCAAATGACCATGATGTCGCTCTGCAGCCCAGGCAATGGTCCGGGCTTCACAAGCTGCCTACCTTGCTCAGAGAGAGAAACCAGGGAGCCCGTGCGAAGGAACCACTGGCCTTCCACATTGCCTGTCGCAGAGAAGGCCCAGCAGGATCCACAGTCACCCTGCAGTCATGAAAGGAGAAGAGGGGAGGTAGGTGACTCTACACAGTTTCACCTTGACCCCAGAGAGGAGAGTGTTTGTGCAAGAAGACTGTGCGGAAGCCTCAAAACCTTCAAGTCCTGAAAGGTTTGAGCCCGGAATCTCTCACGATCACCTCCTCCCAACCCTTCTCAACAAAAGATCACGGAGCCCTTTTTTCCCTGCAGCTGTGCCCTCAACCGTGCAACTCCTTCGCCTGGATACCTGGTGCCATCCTGTTCTCTTGGACAGTCCAGGCGGAGTGCTGTTTTGCTGGCCTAGCTCTTTTACTTCCATTTAGCTTTACACTGGGCAAACAGGGCAACTGCTGTTTTGGTGAGGTGATTTGTAATTTGCTGTCTGGAACTGTTGTTTATTTGCCAGTGAAGACTGAGATTAGATAGTTCCATGTGCAGGAGAAACTTCGGCAGATGCTGCTCTATTTGAAGTGGATAACTAAGTTATTGATGTTTCCATGGCCCTGAGCATCATGTCTTGGCGGAAGGAGTTACCCAAGGCACCATGATCAAACAGAGACTCCCGGCTGGCTGCTCAGTTACAGAACTGCTTTCCACTGTGGAGCCTCAAAACCCAGACACTGCCTGACCACAGAGCTGCCTCTGCAGTGGGGAAAAAGGGACACAGACCTGGTTCTTCACATCCGTGACAGCCCCATGATCCCTCCAGTCCCACGTGCTAGGGGCTGCGTCACTGGGGACCGTGGCCGGTTTCATTGGGCGGCGTGGCATCTTGGCCAATAATGGGTTCAAGTAGGTAGTACGGAACTCCTCCTCTAGAAAGGGACAGAAAAATGCACACTGCGGACTAGATACAGATCAGAGCTTTCAGCAGACTTTACAAAAGCAACCCTCCAACAAACCATCTAGATCCAACAAGCTGACAAAGCTGTTCAGTGCTCGACTGTGCAAAAATAAAAGGGCTGTGAGTTTTGACCTTTGAATAAGGAGGACGGGTAAAAATAAAGCCTACAGAACTGCCCAAAGCCCTGGGATGTCTATTCTATTCTAATGCCGACTGGCTGCTCTGGAAGTTTTCACTGTGCGGTTCAGACTGTGCAACTTCTGTTTTTAATTAAAGGAGGGCCAGGAGTTGATATACATTGGAAGCAGTCTTATTTCTGAACTGGAACATTGATCCATCTGCCTTGACAATGCCTGTTTGTTTTCTCAATAAGGCTCACTTCCCTAGCCCAGCCAACCTGTAATTGTCTAACATGTGACCTGAAAACCCCCAATTCAAACATGTCCTCTACACCACGGAGCTACAGGTCTTCTCCGCAGGGGAACATGGGAAAACTAATCAGCCGAGAGAAACCTCATCACCTCTGCTTTCTCCCAGCTAACACATCCCTACGTTTTTGAAGTCATGTTTCCTTCTATAGCACTATTTACTAACTTTTAACAGCCTGATTGTTTTCAGGCAGACAAGGGTGTCCATACATGTACATGGCTTGTCTTTACTGACTGCGGAGGGATAAGAAAGTGACCTTTTTCAGGGATTCTGAACCGCCAAAGAATTGAGCTGAGTTTTGCAACACATTCATCCCACTTGACAGCCTGAATAGCCCAGCTTAGCCTGGGCTCATCAGAGACTGGGACCTAAGCAGGGTTAGCCAGGGTCAGTACTTGGATGGGAGACCACCAGGAAGACGGGGGTCGCCACACAGAGGAAAGAAATGGCAAACCGTCTCTGCTCATCTCTTGCCTGGAACACCCTGTGGATGGGTGTGCAATGAGTCTGTTGCGACTCAATGGCATGTTCTTCTTCTTCCTCATCCCACTTGGGCAAGAATCCTCACAAAGAAGAAGAGGAAGTGGAAGAGATTGGATTTATACCTCGCCCTTCACTCAGAGTGGCTTACAAACTCCTTTCCCTTCCCCTCCCCACAACAGGCACCCTGTGAGGTAGGTGGGGCTGAGAGAGTTCTTTCCAGAACAGTCCTTGAAAGAACAACTCTGACAGAACTATGGCTTGCCCAAGGTCACACCAGCAGCTGCATGTGGAGGAGTGGGGAATCAAATCCGGTTCTCCCAGATTAGAGTCCGCGCACTTAACCACTACACCAAACTGGCTCTCAAGGTATCTTGTTAGCCATTAGGGTGGTTCGAAGGCTATGTGACTACTTCTGCTAGCAGAAGAATACAGTCTGCCTACTGAAGAGCACGTACAGGATCCAAAGGAGGGGGGGGGGGAAACGGCAGCCAAGTCTTCTCCCCATTCTCATCTACCTGTCAAGTCACTGAATTTGGTGACCCCGTATTCTGCTGTGCCCCGATCCAGCTCTTGAATGACTTGGGCCTTCTTCAGGTTCTCGGCAAAGATCTGGAAGCGCCTTTCAGTTTCTGCAACGAAGAAACCCGATGGGAACAGTTGAAAACCATCATAATGGTTAATAATTAGAATGTTCTGCAGCATGCAGGATGTTTCAGCATTATTTATCTCCGTCAGCGGTGGAGTTAGGGCTGTATGGGTCATGACTCATGGGCACAGCAAGTTAAAGCAAGCCAAGGCACTGTGCCAGGGAGCAGAAGAAAACAAAATCCCTCTGTTCTTCAAACCAAAGAGGCAGGTCTGACCCCAAACGCTCTTAACAAAACTTGCATGGGATTGAGATAGCCAAAGAGAAGGCAGTTTTGGGGAGACGGGACCCCCTGGGTTCTCCCAGCAGCCTCCTTGTCTATTATTTTGAGCTTCCTTATCTTAGCGTTCACCTCTTTGGTTCTTGTAGCTCCTCTTGTAGGTGGTCAGGAAGTCCTTGAACAGGGAAACCAGCTGGATGGAGGCATTCTGGGAAAGTTAAGAATGCAGAACTGAGAAGCTGCCAAGCCATAAGCAAAGTGACACAAATGTACAGAAATGGCAACAATCCAGTAGTTCCTACAGAAAGCTGCCTTACATTGCCGCACACCATTTTCTACAGGTTCTGGGGAAATCAAGGCTCTGGGGTGTGAACAAAAGTGCCCCCACCTTTGCTAAGGAAGAGGCTGATCTCCAATGTAAATCATACCGAGAAAAGGTGAGAGAGGCCCAAGAAAAGCATGCCAAGCTTTAGAATCCCCAGCAATTAGGAAAATTCAATACAGTGGAAGCATTACAACAAATGGATTCATTTTGTTAAACAGCCATCAACCAGAAGGAGAAACAGCAGTTAATCCTGATGAGAAGAAAAGGCTACGTTAAGCCACCGGATTGTCATAAAAAAGGAGTTATTTGCAGAGGTTGCAAAGAAGCGTTTTTGGCTTGTGTGCAAAATAAGGAACTTCGCAAAGTGATGAAAAATGATTAGCTAGCAATCCCGGTGCAGGCCCAAAGCAGCAACCCGTACTGAGAGACTAACATCACAATCTGAAAAGAGCCCCGCACGACATCAGAGCACAGGTCCATCTAGTCCAGTATCCCAGCCAGATGCTTTCATGAGCAAGAAATACAAAGGCAAGCAGGAAGGATGCAGATTAACCATCAGGGATTCTGGGGCCTGCTGTATCCTAGCAAGAACTTGCAAACTAACTTTAGAAGGGAAGACCACCACCCACCTGCAGAAACCTCTTCTCCTGGAATGGCTCCTCAGCTTCCAGTGCAGGTGCCTTGGGATGAAACACCTCCCAGTGTTCTAGTTTTACCGTCTGGACTACCTCAAATGGCTCTGTAAGGGAAAGCAAGAGCAACATTTTCAGTACAAGCGGCTGCTTCAGTAACAAAGTCCAGGAAGCCATGGGTTAACACCTCAATCCGTTCTGCTCCAATGGCATTCTTTGACTCCCACCAATCTATCTCCTTACCAAGGCCTGTCTAGATCTGATATGCAGAAGGGTCTTTCCATCTGACAACCTGCATACAGTTATTCCTGTCAAGTCCCAATGGCCTAAGATTAATTCATGCATCAGTCAAAGCAGTGGGGGCCAGGTACAGCATTTGACTGTCTCTATGGTCAAACACACCATAGCTTCTCACCCTACGGTCCATCCCTTTCTCAAATTAATCTTAACTGGGGAGGGGTTGCAAAGTCCCAGATCTTTTTTTTTTTAGTTGAAGGTTTTATTTCAGTTTTCAGCACTCAAGTATACACACCAAAAAGACAAATTAAATACAATCACAAAATACATCCAGATTTGACAAATTTTAACTGAATCCGATTAATCACTTTTAACCACTGGGATTGTAATTCATCAGAATTTTCATTTCTTTGAAAAAATGTAAGCTTTATCATAAGGTAAACTTCTCCTTTTGTCTAACTACTTGCTGACTTCAGGCATCTTGTTTGACTCTCAATACTGTGCAAATGTTAAACGTGCAGCTGCAATCAAATGCAATATTACAGGCCGCAATTTCTTCGTAATTTCTGGAACAGAATTTAAAACAGGGGTCCTCAACCTTTTTGACCCTGTGGGCACCTTTGGAATTCTGACACAGTATGGTTGGCACAGCCACAAAATGGGTACCACTAAATAGCTGCCATAGGAGGCAAAGCCAGCCACAAAATGGCAGCTGCAGATTTCTTCAGTTACGCAGCGAAGGATTTTGTGCTGTGTTGGGCAAAAGCCCCACTTGGCCCTGCCCACTTTCTAAAAACACTTGGCAGGTGCCAAAAAAAGGTGCCAGTGGGCACCCACAACACCCATGGTCTCCACACTGGTGACCCTGATTTAATAACATACATTTGGGAGCATGTTCTACCCTTCATTGCAACCCAGCACTCAACAAAACAGCTACTTTTCCCCCAATACTGGATCGGTCTTGGGCAGAACCACCACATGTGGATAAAATCAGCTAATTCTGCATTGCAGAACTAACATAAAACACAGCAAGAACTATAAATTTTAGCAAATTAACCTTGGGGTTAAATACAACGGGTGTATCATTTTCCACAGGTTCTCCCTAAAAGTAAACATATAGTAAACACTGGTCCTGGTGAAAATGCGAAACTTCTGTTGCAACTTCATACCCCAAAGTTGAATTCCATTTATACTTTAACTTCAGTATCACTGCTGATTCTTGTTTTACTACCTGCTCATAGAGTTAAGAAAATAAATGCTTTGGAGCAGAGGTCCATCAGTGGCTATTAGCCACAAGGTATAGATAGGGGCTCTGGGGCAAGTGATGCTCTGTCTTCTTGGTGCTTGGGGGGGGGGTCAACAGTGGGAGGGCTTCAAATGTCTTGGCCCCACTGGTGGACCTCCAGATGGCACCTTGTATTTGTGGCCACTGTGTGACAGAGTGTTCGACTGGATGGGCCTTTGGCCTGATCCAACATTGGCATCTCTTATGTTCTTATGGATGTTGAGTTATGATTTTGTTTCAAACTTTTTTGACTTATACTAAAGCCACTTTGAATTAGATTTGTTAAAAAACTCTTCCATTTGGGAATAATAAAACCGTGTGCCCTAACCATTACTTTCCCTGTTAACCTCTTCATATGAAATAACAGTACCAGAGACTATTAAAATGTGATAGCAATCTAATTTATGGGTTTCCCATTTGGTCAATTATGTTAACCTAAATCTTTGGAGCAAATCCAAGTCGTTAGCTGCAGATGCTAATGGTGAAGTGCTGGAGAAAGCTTCTTCCCAGATCTTCAAAGGAAAATTTTGCAACTTGTATAACTGCATTCAAAAATGGTTTTAAAAATACTTTGCGATTATGAGACTCCAGCCCGCAAACTTGCAATCCTATTTGCACAAGAGGCCAATAAAAAGTATCATAAGAACATAAGAAGAGCGTTGCTGGATCAGTCCAGCATCCTATCCCACACACTGACTAGCCAATTGCCCTGGAGGGCCAACAAACAGGGTGTAGAGGGCCTAGAGGCCAAGGACTTCCCCTGATGTTGCCACCTGGCACAGGTATTCAGAGGTTTACTGCCTCTGAATGTGGAGGTTCCCTTTAGTCACCATAGCTACTAGATGCTGATAGACCCATTCTCCATTAATGTAATCCCCTTTTAAAGCCTGGGGCCATCCCTACATACCCTGGGAGCAAATTCTACCTTTTAGTCACTTGTTGGATAAAGAAGTATTTCCTTTACTTGGGGGTCCTGGCCATCCTGAATCTACTAGCCATCAACTTCGTTGGATGCCCTCGAGCTCTAGCATTTTGGGAGAGGGAGAAGAAGTTCTACTTTCTACCCTACGCATAATTTTATCACGCACACCACCTTTAGTCATCTCTTTTCTAAACTGAAAAGTCCCAGACTCTTCAGACTCTCCTGATAGGAAAGGTGCTCCGACCCCTTAAACAACTCGGTTGCCCTCTTCTGCACTTCGCTTTTTGAGATACAATGATCAGAACTGCACACAACATTCCAAATGAGGCCACACCACGGACCTATACAGAGGCATCATTGGCTGTTTTATTCTCAGTCCCTTTCCTAATAATCCTCAGCAAAGAGGTTGCCTTTTTACGCTGCTGCGGCACACTGAATTGACACGGCTGTGGAGCCAGGCACTACCACTCCAAGGTCTCCTTCCCTCCATTAGCCTATACTTGGAGCTGGGATTGTTTGTTCCAGTCTCAGCCATTCTGGATGCTGCTTGTTTACATGGGGCTGGGTCCAGGAGCAGCCCCGTAGCTAAGGACTTTTTAGGGAGGGGGCCTGGGGGGGGGGGGCCCGCCTGCGCTCCAGGGCAAAGGCTGCAGCTTCCCTCCCTCTCCCCCTCCCCTCCCGCAAGGGCAGGCCTGCCCTGGGGGCCGTCTGGGTCCAGCTCCCTCCCTCCCCAAGGAGCCCCAGTGCACAGCACCAGGAGCAGCCTCTGAAATCACTGCCCCTGTCCTCCCTGCCAACAGGCTGACAGGCAATCAGGGGGAGTCGGGGTAGGGGAGCCGAGGCTCAGGAAGGGGCCCTATAAAAACTCCTAGGGGGCCGGGCCCCATGGGCCCCGCGTCAACTACGGACCTGTCTGGTAGGTAGGCAGCAACTCCTGTCCCACGGCAGATCCCTGCTCCCCTGTACACACTGGACATGAGGATCCCCCAAACTCCCCAGGAGCAAAATTTCAAGATGCTCAGCAGGCTGCAGAGATAAGGGGGAGGCAAGAAACCTCTGCTCTGCAAGCTTTGATCCGCCCCTTGTACTTTGAATCAAACATTCTTTTGGGGGGCCAGGAAGCTGCTGTTTCATCTCACAACATGAAGGTAGGAGAGGTTTTGACCTTTGCGTTAGCTATTATATTTATATTCCAGACAAGCTGCCCAGACCTGACATACCAGCAGGACGGCACTCTTGTTTCACCAGTTTCTTCTTGTTCGCCCATGGTTGACTCCAGACCTCAAAGTAACATGCCTCAAGGGGGAGAGAACAAAGAGTTGTGAGTGAATGGAAAGCACAGAAACCAGGCAGAGACTAGATGTGCAGCGGACAGGAGCAAGGCTGGAAATCAGAAAATCCTGGCTTGCCATCTATTCTAATAGCAAAGAGAACCTCTATTAGGTTGGGAAAAAGTAGTCATGCAAAGTTGGGAGCTCCTGAAAAAAAAGGAAGTCTGGCAAGGGCAGGGTCTTTGCACTCCTAAAGGATTCCTCCCTCTGAGCTGTGCAAGGCTGTCAGCTGACCACACAAGCAGCTGAGCTGTCCCTGTTTGAGGGAAAGTTCATGCAAAGCAACTTGGCAGACAGGGTGTCACAAGACAACACACGGGGAAACTGACTAGGACTTAGCTCTCCAGTGAGTGGATACTAAACAGAGACTGTGGTCTTGCAAATTATAATGTGTGTCTTAAGAAGCAGAAATTAAGGTTAAATGCAAGGTTTATTTGCTTGAATGGTAGCACACCTACCATAATGGCAGCTGGAAGCATAGCTGGGAGAAAGATCTGATAGTTACTGTTTACCTAGGTAAAGGTTTCCCTTGCTTGGAAGCCAGTCGAATTTGACTCTAGGGGGTGATGCTCATCTCCGTTTCCAAGCCGAAGAGCCAGCGCTGTCCGAAGACGTTTCCGTGGTCATGTTGTCAGCCTGACTAGATGCTGAGGCGCACCGAACGCTGTTACCTTCCCACTGAAGCGGTACCTATTTATCTACTTGCAATTTCTTGCTTCCGAACCGCTAGGTTGGCAGGAGCTGGGGCCAGAGACGGGAGCTCACTCTGTCATGCGGCACTCGGGTCTCGAACTGCCGAACTACAGACCTTCCGATCTGCATTTCAGTGTCTTAACAGTTTATCTAGGAGCCTGTAAAGGTGGCAGGGATGCCGCATGGCCCCTGCTCCTTAACGCAGAGACCTTACTTTGAAATCCGCAGCATGGATAAGATGGAGGAAGGAGCTCACAGCCTGCTCCAGATGCCCCAAAGGATGAACGTTCTGCTACCCATCTGCAGGAGGATCCTATCCGCTCATCTCAGGGATGACAGAACCCAACATGCCCCAAAGCGGTCTCTGCTTGAATCGTAATAAAACGAGTTAATAGAAACTGGAAGTACCAGCTAGCGGTATATGTTGTGGCTCAAAAAAGTGTTTCCCTCCTCTACCATGACCTGGACTACAGAACTGTCAGCTAGAGCAAGTCTCGTTTCAGAGCTTGGTGGTGGTTTAGCAGGAAAAGCAGCCTAAAGACTTATGATCACATCGTGCGACTTACACATAGCCACTTTGCACACCCCAGGCATTTGCATATCGGAAAGGAAGCAGACTTAGAACAGAGAGTATGTTCAGCAAATTCCATCAGCACTTCCAAAGTTTTCAAATTCTTAAGCAAGGGAATTATCTATGTTTTTTATCCTTCCCTTCTTCCAAAGAGCTCAGGGTAGCAAACTTTGCTCAATGCACCCCCACATTTTACCCACAACAATCCTGTGAGATAGCAAAGCTGAGGGAGATTGACTGGTCCAACATCACACGATAAACTGAGTAGGGATTTTCACTGCGTTTCCCAAGCCCTTGTACAATACTGTCATCACTATGGGATACCAACCCTCCAATTTACATCTTAAAGTAGCCACATCCGGTTATTAGTTTAACCACCAACCTGGTGCCTAATTACAGAGAGTGATTAAAATGTGGAATTCACTGCCAGAGGATGTAGTAATGGCCACAGGAATAAACAGCTTTAAAAGGGGATTAGATAGATTCATGGAGGATAAGTCTGTCAATGGCTACTAGCCATGGTGACTGAAGGGAACCTCCACATTCAGAGGCACTAAACCTCTGAATCCCAGAACCAGGAGGCAATGTCAGGGGAAGGTCTCAGCCTCTATGTCCTGTTTTTGGCCCTCCAGAGGAACTGGTTGGCTGCTGTGTGAGACTAGATGGACCACTGGTCTGATCCAGCAGGGCTCTTCTTATGTTCTTACCTAACCATTTGAGCCAGATGTCTGCTAAACTGCTTTTGGTTGAACTGGTAAATCCCCCAAGTGATCTCGGTACAACTACCTGGACCCTAGGCACCTATCAGGGAGATGCCCACCGTGTCAGAGGCTTTAACCCTCTGCAATAACCTGCAAACGGAAATCAGAGCCAAAAGCCTGAGTAGAATCTTGATCCTTACAATTTGTTTAGGCTCTCCCGGAGTGATGCAACCAGAAACATCTTGGGCCTCAGCCTGAGTTCCAGTGCACAGATTCTTCAGCAGGGTCACATCCAGGTAGTACTTGATGCCGTTCACAACCTAGAAATGGGAAAGAGGTCTCAGACAGAAGTTTGGGAAGCTGTCAAGTGGTGGTGCCTGCAGGATGCCTGACAATTCTGGTAGTGCTGGAAAAAGCTGGGAGTGTCCTTGTGGGGTTTTTTTGACAGCGGCAAGCACTGAGGCCAAAAAGAAATGGCGTTGGAATTTCAAGTTGAGGCTCACAGCTGTGAGCCGTCACCTTAAAAAAGAAAGCAAGTTTCAGGAACTCAACCCATATGTGCAGTCAGCACTTGGCACACAACTGGTGCTACGAAATATTTGCTACTGGCAAAAGCAGGGTTTCACCTTGTTTTTTAATGACCTATTATGCACACACAGCTTACTGCAGAGAATCCAGGCAGTCAAGTCTTTAAACTTGGCTTTGGATTCCGTGCCGGCTGTACACACCATTCTTTTTTCTCTGGTGTATTTATTCTGCTCTGCGCTCCCTTCTAACCCGCCACCTGGTTTAAACAGGTGGTAGGAGAGGGCAGCCCAGCTGGGCTTGCTGTGCGTGCAGGGAGCCAATGACTCCCTACAGGCACAGCTCTGCGCTGCTTCCTCCCGCTTCCCAGTTTAAACTGGGCGGCAGGAGAGGGAAGCCCAGCCAGGAGTAATTTCTATTTTTTACAAGCAATCTGAGACTAGCGTTACTGTCATATCGCTAGACTCAAATCACTTGGGAAAAATTTAAATGTCAAACAACGCGGGACACACCGATGAATGGCAGAAGGTGCAAAGTGAGTGGAATGACCTGGATGTGGGAGTGGCCTACGAGGGGTGGGAAATGGGCCGGAGGGGGAAATCTGAGGGAATCTGTATGCTTTTGAATTACCTTAGGCTTGGAAGCAAAGCAGGGGGGAAACGGCACAAAAGCACACTCAGAAAATCTGGTGAAACAGTGACTGGAAAGTGAACTGAGCACGGAAGGGAGGCAAATCAACGCAGAAGGAAAAAGAAAACCTGATGGACATGCATGGTGAAAGCAAGGCAAAACACCCATGCATAATAGGCGAATGTTTGTCACACTTGACTCTTGTACATTTTAAGATAGAAAAGGGGCTATTACAATCCTGTTTCCTGCTGCCCAGTTTTCTTGATGAATTTCAAAGGCTAACATCTGGGGGGGAGCAAGTCTAGTAGCACCTTAAAGACTAACAAAATTTGTGGCAGGGTATGAGCTTTTGTGAGTCACTGCTCACTTCTTCAGATACAACTAGAATGTGAGTTCATCTGCCCTATCCTGGATAGTGGAGTGATTTCAGCAGTCTCCCTTTCTAATCTCCCTTTGAAATTCCTTTGTGGTTTCTAATGTCAGACCATTTATTCTTTGTCTTTGGGACTGGCCTGTTTGTCCAATGTAGAGGGTGGAAGGGCATTGCTGACACGTGACGGCATAAATCTCTAATGTGATTTATGCCATCATGTGACATTAGAAACCAAAACATTCAAAAACCAGAGAGGGGAACATTTTACCCTTCCAGGACATTCAGTTGCTGATCTAAGAGTAGCAGTTCTCTTACAAAGGAATTTCAAAGGGAAATTAGAAAGGGAGACTGCTGAACTGGAACTGATAATAGAGCTCCAGACAATGCATCATCCTGGACTGAATTGAGGTCCTTTCCGCATTTGCCCGCCACTCCGGATTTTCTCAGTGTTTGAGTCAAGGCAATTTAAATCCACTGCAAAACAGCATCCAAATAACCCAGGGCAACAGAAGGCTGAAACCAGGCTGACCACTGAAGAGAGGTAAATGTAATGCAAAAAGAAAGGGGGGGGGGGGGGGGGGGGACCAGAATAAAAAGAAGGCTGAATGCAATGCAGAACGGGGGAAAAACATGGATTAAAAAGGCTGAATTCGATTTTAGTGCAGAATTGCTTGGAAGACACTGCAGAGAGTGCAGAAAGGGCCCTAGGTTTCCTGTCTCATTACCAAAGCTGATTTATCCATACTTACTCCCCCTCGGCATATCACACTTAACCTAATCATACCTGCTGTTGTCATTTGCCTGCTATTGTCATTCAGCATCTAAAAGCACTCCACTTTCCAGGATTCAAGGGCAGATGGACTCACATTCTAGTTGTATCCGAAGAAGTGAGCAGTGACTTACAGAAGCTCATACCCGGCCACAAATTTTGTTAGTCTTTAAGGTGCTACTAGACTTGCTTCCCCACCCCCCAGATGTTAGCCTTTGAAATTCATCAAGAAAACTGGGCAGCATGAAACAGGATTGTAATAGCCCCTTCTCTATCTTTAAATTTTCAAGAGTCAAGTGTGACAAACATTCACCTATTATGCACGGGTGTTTTGCCTTGCTTAGAGTTTAAAGTGCTACTGGACTCTTGCTCTCTTCTACTGCTGCAGACGGACTAACACAGCTATGCATCTTGATCAGTCTCTAGGAAGGCCAGAAAAATAACCTGGTACAACAGTTGGCAATTATGTAGAAGCTTGGCAAGAACTTCTGGTCAATCTCTCAGATTTAGAAACTCAGTTAAATAACAAGAAAAGTGCACACTATGTCAAGTTCTCATATTTGGAAAACTAGATCCTACTGATAATATAACTTGTATTAAAGAGCAGGAAAAGTACCAGTCTGGGATCTTGACCTGATGTTCCTGCTATCTGCCAGCCCTATGGGATGCTTCTGGTCTGTCTTTGAGTCACTGACCTAGTTTTCTTGTACAAGTAATTGGGGGTGAATTTACACCACCACAGCCATGCAGACACACGCCATGGGGTTTATTCTTTGAAGGTCAGCCTCAAACCTAACTGGTTGCTATCCAGCTAATGATACGTCAATTGGAGACAGGAAGCCTCTCGAAAGGTTCAATTTTCAACACGCCTTTTAAATTACTCTGTTTTGATGAAATCTACCTACAGCTGCTTCAGAGTAATCAAATTACACTGTACGACTGCACAAGAACAAATGGGTGTAACAAAGCACAAAACAGGGTGTGTGTAGAAGAGACAGAGGGAGAGAAAACCCATATAGGTTAGGGGGAAAGGGCTCTTCCCTCCCTCCAGCAATAAACAGGAGAGTCATACCTGCCCACAAAGCCACATGCATCCTCATCTGCTGTACTGCAAGTTAGCCCTCCTCCCCACCATATTTCCCATACAACGTTTTCTGCCCACCCTTTTCCTATACCCTCCCACACAAGTAACCTCAGCCTTCCCACTTCCAGGCAAAATTACAACTGTCCAATTACCTGTACTGCACAAAACACTTTATCCCATAAAATAACACTGTTTCTGTACTAGTCATTTTAGTATGGCTTAATAAATCTGTTATCTGGATGCTATCTACCTTGGGTCCTGAATAATCAGATCATAATATAATAATTATATAGATAGGATCGTAGAGAGTTTGAAGGGACCTCCAGGGTCACTTAGTCCAACCCTCTGCACAATGCAGGGAACACACAACTACCTCCCCTCCCGCACCCCCAGTAAACCCTGCTCCATGCCCAGAAGATGGCAAAAAACAAACTCTACTCCAGGTTCCCTGGCCAAACTGGCATGGAGAAAATTGCTTCCTGACCTCAAAGTGGCGATCAGCATTTCCCCATTCCCTGGGCGTATAAGAAAGGGCTGCCAGAACTAAGCACGGATGGAACCCTTCCTGCCCTCCCTCTAATGATCTGCCCAAGTTCACAGAATCAACATTGCTGTCAGATGACCATCTAGCCTCTGTTTGAAAACCTCCAAAGGAGAACCCACCACCTCCCTAGGAAGCCTGTAGATAGACATTACGTCTTTTCACCCTTGGTCTGCCACTCTCCTCCAGGGTCCCAGTTCATCTAAGGATGCCAGCCTCCAGGTGGGACCTGGGGACCCCCCAGAATTACAGCTCATCTTCAGCCTACAGAGATCAGTTTCCCCGGAAATAACAGGATGCTTTGGAGGGTGGATTCTATGGTACTGAATCCCACTGAGGTGAGGTCCCCGTCCTCCCCAGGTTCTATCCCCAAATCTCCAGGAGTTTTCCAATCGGGATCTCGAAACCCTAATTTGCCTCCATGCCATCTTCTGGGAATGGAGCAGGAATCACTGGGTGTGTGTGTTGGGAGGAGGTATTTGAGAATTTCCTGTATTATGCAGGGGGTTAGAGTAGATAACCTCGGAGGTCCCTTCCAATTCTATGATTCTATCTATATAATTACTTCTAGACCTCAACCATCTTTTTGTTTCGCCCGGGGGGGGGGCTTAATTCCTGTACAAATCAATCCCCCCCATATTCCATGCACCGCCCCCAGTCAGCCTCCTCCACCCCAGAAGTACCCCCAAGTTGCAGTTATGAATTCCCCGCATTATGCAGCAGCTTGGACTAAATGACCCTGGAGGTCCCGACCCTGGAGGTCCCTTCCAGTTCTATGATTCTAGCTATATAATTACTTCTTGTCCTCAGCCTCCTTTTTGTCTCTCCGGGTGGGGGGCTTAATTCCTATACAAATCAATCCCCTTCTCCCTGCAATATCCCTTGCGCCGCCCCCACCCAGCCTCCTCCACCCCAGAAGTACCCCCAAGGTGCAGTTGTGAATTCCCTGCATTGTGCAGGGGCTTCGACTGGATGACCCTGGAGGTCCCGACAAGTACCCCCAGCCAGGCTGCGCAACGTCCCCTGCCGCCATTGCCTCCCGCAACCTTCCCCCCTCTGCGTGACGTCACCACCGCCCCGCTTTCTCTCTCCCCCCCCCTCCAGCCCCTCAGCTTCTGCCCCTCCTCTCCCAGCAGCCCCTCCGACCTGGGTCTTGACTCCTCTCAGCGTCCAGACGCGACCCGTCTGAGTGGCTTCGGCCAAGGCGAAGCGCGCCGCCTCTCGAGCTGCTGCGTCTCCCACGTCCAGCACGGCCGCCTTGCCCGGCCCGGCCGAGGCGAGGCAAAACAGAAGGAACGGGCAGAAAAAGAGGAGCGAAGCCGGTGCCATCGTCCCTCCGGCTGAGGAGAAAAACTGTTTTGACGTTCACCCGGCTGAGGGGGAAAGGGGCGGGGCTCCCGCGGCAGTGGGAGGGGCCTGGGCGCAAGCCCCGCCCCATGCTTTGACGTCATCGACCCCATGCCTTTGCCCGAGGCTTTGGGGAAAACTGGCGTCGTCGCGCCTGGTGAACTGCGGGGAGGCTTCTAATTGGGAAAGAGGGACCGAACCGGTTTGATTTCCTTCCGGCGGGAGGCGCGGGGAACGGTTTCACAAGTCCTGGACCGTTTCTAAGCAAGCACGTTAGTTTCAGGTGGGGGCAGGCCTCGGTTCCTGCCGGAGCGCACCGGAGCACCGCTCAGCCAGTCAGGAGCCCAGGGGGCGGGCACATAAGCCCAGCCCCCTGCTCCCACAGCCATCAGGTGGGCAACGGTGGGGCGAAACGTCTGGCTCCCCCAGCTCTCCTTTTGTTGTTGTTCAGTCGCACAGTCAAGTCCACTCTTTGCAACCCCATGGACCAGATCACTCCAGGCCTTCCGGTTTTCCGTCCTCTGAAGTTTGCTCAACTTCATGTTCGTTGCATCGATGACACTGTCTAACCATCTCATCCTTTGCTGTTCCGTCCTCTTTGACCTTCAATCTTTCCCAGCATCAGGGTCTTCTCCAGTGAGTGCTCCCTTCTCATTTGGTGGCCAAAGTATTTGAGCTTCAGTTTCATTATCTGGCCTTGCAGGGAACAGTCAGGGTTGATTTCTTTTAGGATTGACTGATTTGATCTTCCTGCAGTCCAAGGGACTCTCAAGAGTCTCCTCCAGCACCATAGTTCAAAAGAATCTATTCTTCGGCGCTCGGCCTTCCTCTCGCAGCCATACATGACTACTGGGAATACCATTGCTTTGACCATGCGGACTTTTGTTGGCAGGGTGATGTCTCTACTTTTTATCATGCTGTTTAGGTTCGCCATCGCTTTCCTCCCAAGGAGCAGGCGTCTTTTAATTTCATGGCTGCTGTCACAGTCTGCGGTGATCTGGGATCCCAGGAACGTGAAGTCTGTCACTACTTCCATAACTTCCCCTTCTATTTGCCAAGGA